CCACGAAGACAATACTTTAAACAGTCGTGCCCTCTACTGCCAACCTACTAAAAATTTTCGTTTCGCTCCTCGCCCCTTTCTCTTTATTTCTACTTTTCAGCACCTTATTCTAATCCTTAATTATTATTCTGGATAATTGCCGTAAACGTGGTCACTTTACCCAAGAGCCTGTAAATTTGTTGACTGACGAATATCAAAAGATCTTTGCACATTGACCTCATCAATTCTTGTTACATGCAGACCTGCATTTACCTTGCATTGTTTCTCGCTCACTAGCTGTTCGTCGTAACTGGCACCAATGATCGAGTCGTACATCGCAGAGTCAGCCATGTATATGAAGCCAAAGTATCAAATGAAAATTTAAAGTAACTGAACGACCTTTTGCAGAAATAATTTTAACAATTTTAAAATTTAAATCTTTCCTGGATATTGGTATGCCTCCTGTAAAATGTTGCTATTTGAGAATGAATTGTTATTTTTACTACTTACGTTTGGTTCATCCGTACCGTTTACAAGCAAGGCTATTTGTGAGGACTTCAGCCTGCCTGAAATCTCTTGGTTCCCCATCAAAGCACCTAAACGATTCGAATCATTTATCGAATGCTTAGAGCTTAGAGAGTGGACTCAACATGTTGACGGCCCAAACAGAAGTCAAAATACATTGGCTTTAGTTTTGACCGGCAATCTCATTCCTAATATGTTGGAAAAAAGTTCCCAGGTAGCGATCATAATATCGTCATATGCAGTCCTCATATAGGAGCTACAACTATAAAAACGTAAAGCCACTATACTTCGTAGGGACTTTCGTAAGATTGATATGTCAAACTCCCAGAATTACCCAAGAAGCATCGACTGAACTGTCTACTTTGATGCAAACGAAACCGATGAGCTAATAAATGTATTTCATCACAATATAAATAATATCTTCAATAAATTTGAAGCTTTAGGATCCTAGAGAACCAGAATTCCTAGGGAATTATATATGCCAGGTCATATACGAAAACATCTTCGAAGACATGCTTCCAGAATTCATAGCCGTTATGACTTCTCCTCATTAATAACGATGACTGAAATATGTGTCGAGGCAGAGATAATATTTACTGAAAGGGCAATTGCACAGGAAAAACTTGCCGTCCAGCTGAATAATAAACCTTCTGCCCTATATAAAATCTTTCGAAATAAACTTAAATGTTCTAAAGTGATAGGAGGGAGCGTATTTATAAAGTACAATCAAGTTGGTGGTGACACCAAAAGTTTCACGGAGCTGTTTAGCGAACATTTTTGATCTTCACTGACAAACTAAAACCCAACAAATGAATCACACTTGACCAAAATCCTTCCTGTGAAATCGCCAGTGTAGACTTTAGTGTACAGAAAATTTCTATGCTAGACCTTGGAAAGATTTTATCTGCTATGCAAGGCAACCATGGAAAGCTGTGTCATCGAGCAGTGCCGTTATCGTCGAAAGTCCTGCCTGAAGCTACAGGCAGGTAATGGCTGGGTTTGGCATCACTCAGGGGTGAAATTGTAACATGGTGTTGAACCGTTTCTCCCTCTACGGGAAGAAATATCTGAGAATCGCCTATTCTAGACAATCGTAGACATCAGGTGCATTAGGTTTAAGGACGACCTCATGGACTGCAGCTATTTAATCCCAAGGTAGAGATTGCAGTGCAGATCAATTGATGAAATAGTGAATCTACATCAGTTGATGTGATCGGGACATGTGTTATGTATGTCTAACCACCGACAGTCTCGACGAGCTATGTTTTGTGATGTGGTGGTAGTGTGGAAGAAAGCTAGGGGTGGCCAAATCTAAAAGTAGCACAAATTCATGAAGTGATTGATTAGTGGATTGAACTATGTAAGTAGGTGTAAACTACCAGTTTGGGGTACGCGAGATGATAGTAATCGTTGGTTAGAGACCTTGAATGAAGCGGCTTAAAATCGTCTTGAATGACGCAGGTGCATTCATTGATTGTGTTCTCTCAAATTCTAACCTTCTATATCCCTCATCAATTTATCTTTTCCTTTTTAAGTTTATTTAACTAGATTCTACTTCTTGAATAATATACTTGAACTCCACTTTCTCCGATTACTGCTGAAACCTTTACCACATCTACTAATAAGGGATTTGAATTGACAGTTACATCTCTATGCTGTGGTATGGCAACTTGAACTGATGTACTTACGTACGTACGAAGTATTACGTTGCCGTTATATTATCGAAGAACGCCTCGAATATCTAAATCCTCACGGTTAGAATACAGGCGTTTAAGAGATGACCACTGGAAGGCCAGTATTTTTCTTCGTCTAGTTGAATATACTTAGTTTTCGACATAAACGCAATGTGATTCGTTTCTTCAAGGTACGGGGGCCAGTTAATCGAAATCTCCTATTTCGTCTACAACCACTGGAACAATTTGAAATATATTAAATATCCAATATCCTTTTCACGAGCTAGTGTAAACCAATTTGATTTCTTTGTGCTCGATTCTTTTTCTTTCGGTACGTTAGGCGATATATATATATATATATATATATATATATATATATCGCCACTCCACCTCCAGTTTGGTGTTCCCTATCGCTTCGGAAGAGTGTCATGCCTGGTAAGCTCACTTCTGCGTCTGCAATGTCAGGGGATAGCCATGTTTCAGTTAGGATTATGATCTTCAGATCCATCTGAGAGCACATATTCCTGATTTCTAACAGCTTACCCCTTAGTCCTCTTACGTTGCTATAGAGGCACTTGGTGGTTTGTCTCAGCACCTGGTGCACATTTGCAGCAGCAGCCGTTGTCGGATTTTCAGACAAGTTATTTAAACCGAATCGGCCAGTTCTGTGGGAACTGGCCTCTGCAGGTTTTTTGCCTGCGCGGTTGGTTCACTCATATCTTGTGCCAGAGGTAGTTGACCGAGTTTAACTATCAGTTTTGTGCGTTCATTTTGGCCTCCCTGCTGTTGTCTCACAGATCTAGGTCGGCTCTCACAACATCTGATGTGGCTAGGCAGATCGTTCCTCGAACTGTACCAAGCTTGTAGTGTTTCGGTCAGGTCTTCCCGGTTCCTAAATGTTACAGCCATCAGGCGTGGTGACTTGATAGACGTAAGGTGTGACGGGCGGGGCAACCTGGAAATGCAAACTGCCATCGTGGTGTGGAGGGATAGGCTACGCGATAGCCATCGCCACTGTTGCACATCGTGCTCGTGAGCTTCGTCCGGGTTACCGCTGGTGAGTTCGGGTATACCGTGAACTACCATGGTGGTCTGTTCTTGGGTGCCTGGCGCAGTTCTGGCTGCTGCACGTACCGACCACGGCTTGTCATGCCTGATGCGAATCAGCGAGGACAATTTGACCGATGGTCTTTGGGATGAAAGGATAATGTCTTCAGCAAGTCGTGCCGAGTCAAGAGTTACCCTCATTGGAGGGGGTTTTCCTTTCGAGACATTTTGGCCTTTGAAAAGGCGGCATATTTTGGCTGGGACGTCGCACATTCCGAGGGTTGAGCAGAGTTTATCCCACTGCTCTTTGTCGAAGGCAGCCCTACCTTCTAGCAAGCTTTCTTCCGATACTGGGACATTAAATAAAATAAGTGAGTTTGATCTGTCGTCCCTGTTCTTGGGTGGAAGCCGCTTGTGAGTTGGGGTGTTGCTCTTTCCCTTCTTCACGTTCACCCACTGTTTTGTGTTGCTGGCAGATACTGGAGGGTTAACAACAACCGGCAGTTTTGTCGGTGTGTTAGGCAGGGTTGTGGTAGCCTTGGTCACTTGTTTTACTGGTTTAGTGCCAGGCGATTTTGCTTTGGTCGTTTGGACTTTGGGACTGATTTTGGGTGGGACCTGTGGCTTTGTCAGTGCCTCAGAAACTCTACACCGAGGGCAAATGTACCAGAACCATGGGCAGGGGTGACTCAGCATGAATCCGTAGTACTCTTTAGGTACTGTAGTGTCGCAGTGACAATGTACCCATGTACTACAGAAGTTGCATTCGAAAGCGCGGTCGCTGACTTTGACTGATAATGAGCAGGCAAAACAGTCGTCCTTATGCTGTTTCTGGGCGTTGGACTGTGTCGACTGAGCCTTGGAGCGTCTTTTTCTCCTATTCTTAACTAGCTTACTGGTCTTTTTAGGAATAGGAGTGGTGTCTTGCTTCCTCTGTGGTGTCTGCGTTGAGTGATCTAAAGTATGGACACTGAGAGGCGTACTATCGACTGACTGTTTGGGTTTTTTAACAACCCGTTCGCACGATATTGGGATTTTCGACGCACTATCGACTCCGGGGTTTATGCCTCTACAAGTTTTCCTGGTTGTTATAGTGTAATGTGTACTAGCGACCTTATTACTTGACATGATACCAGGGAGATTAGGAGGTGAATACCGAGATAATTAGAATACGAGATACACAAAAAGGGATTTAGGAAAGAAGAAATTTAGTAGTATATAATAAAACTACAAGGAATAGAGCCTGAAAGTACTCCAAAATTGCAACTTTACCTTTGACCGTATTAGTAAGTAACTTTGCGTGTATCCAGTAACTTGTCCACAAGTCCTGTGTTTGTGAGTGAGTGGATGTATGTATGCTGCCGAAGCAACTAGAAATAGAGCAGTTGAATGAGGTAGCTAGACCTACCGCGCAATGGTTCTGACTTGGAATGGTTCCGTATGCCCGAAAATGTTTTCAGATTGTCAACCAATGAATGGAGACAACTTTTTATAGCTTCGGAGGTGATAAAGTATCCCGAAAGTGGATTGTTTCCCGTAAATGGAAGAGAGTCAGCGAGGACACGTCAAATTCGAAGCGCGCTCTTAGATATTGTATCAAAGGAAGAAGGATATGGTCTTTTCATCGAAGGTGTTGGAGATGTTCTACTACTCAGGAAAGCCTATCAAGTAACAAATTTTTCATTACATCCACCTAATAAACTGCAGTGTTTTAATTTTCCAAAACTCACGGTCGTCAATGTGCCGCTAAATGATGCTTGTTTTTTCGTTTTGTTAATGGAGTGTATGCTTTTGCTGTGTCCTGCAGCTAATCAGTCAGACTGTCGGCCCTGTAGCCCTCTCTCTAAAGAACATCAAAAAAACTGGAACAGATATATTGACTTATTGCTGTCGAATTGGGAAGACAAGCTTCACCTTCCCACATATTATCGAGAATTGAAAGCACACCCTTTTTGTTGTACTCCACGTCCAGGCTATTCTTGTCGTCTGAATCTTATTCATGAACCCCGAAAGGAACCTCGGCAGTTCTATGATCTCACGTAAGTCAGCTTGATGTTGATTATTTTGCAGGTGTGCGAACGAAGACTTCTTTACGCCCATTAAATGTCTGCAAGACAATGACATCAGGTGCTGTTCTGAAAAGCACTGTAATGTGCCATCTTCAGATGAACTCCTGTTGCTTGTCAAAGACAGCCCCTCAAATTTATATATTGTCGCCATATCTCTCTTAACAATACTATGCATCATACTTTGTATCGTATCAGGGACTTTCTACTTTCTCTTGAGAAGGAAATCAGGTGAGTTATTTTTTCCTGACAGAAATAGTGTTCGTTAACATGTTGAAAACCATCCAAATTTCGGTGGATTTTCACATAACGTTAGGAAGCATTTCTGGTCAGTTGACCGCTCCGTTTTAATAATGGTCAGACTAATTATGAATAACTTCATAGAATATTTCATGCTCAGTATCTTGACGGTTATGTTTACCGCAAGTAGATTTGTTCCCTACCATGCGGGAGTACCTTCCTCCATAGTAGTCAATTTGGGAGTGGTTAAATGACAATATGGTGTGCCTATTTTAGAGAGTCTTGGGAAGTTCATTTGTATTGGATCTGAAGCGATATGCTAAAGTGTCAGATTGCTATGACAATATTCTGTCAACCGATATGGCGTTTGTCCTAAATGGAGTCAGTGCGGCAAAGGAACTTACATCCTTTTTGCCAGTTCCAGAAACATCATATACCGGTGACCCGACTGCAGCAGCTACCGTGATGTGGTGATCAGGTTTGCCTATTGTGATGACCAAACCGAGTTATAAGTTGAAACGTGTTTCTGTGGGTCCTACCATGCTAGGCAGGTCATTTGGAGAACGATGAGACTAAAAGCAGCTATTCCAGGACTAAGGGCGAAGTCGTACTGCTGACTGTAGAGGGGTGTGACACTAGTAAGGTTTTTCCCTAGGACCGTCAGCATCCGCAGCAATACTGCCTTCTCACAAGAAAGGAATAAATTAGGAAAGTTAGAACCCAAAAATATCACACCTTGTCTTACCCCAAGGACTTCAATCTCTGGCGGTATGGCGGCTTGAAGAGCGAAGCTAACACTTCACGAACCTCCCGTAAAATCGGCGTATGTGACCGACGTCAAACATTTGTAGCCTACATCTACCGACATGACTCAGTCCACTTGTCAGTGACTCCATGGATTCGTGCCATGTTTTGGTCTGGCCGACCCTAGCTTTCTTCCAACCTACTCCTACACCACAAAACATAGCACGTCGAGGCAGTCGGTGGTTAGGCATTCGTAATGCATGTTCCAACCACCTCAACTGATGAAGTTTCAATACTTCATCTATTGATCTGCCATCCTTACCTAGCACCCGTTTCCCAATGACAGCATTGCTTACTCGGTTGTCCCACGATATACGAGCAATGCTTCTTAAACATCTATGACGGAATGCTAGTAACCTACGAACATCTACTCTACCCTATTTGACATAAGGTCCGTACATTAGATGCTCCAACATGTAGTCTAGAGCGTGGTTTCAGGAGACCAGAAATGACGTTCCGTGAACTCGCATCGTTTGCATTAGCTGTGCACTGTGATAAAGGAATATGAGAAGAGTTAGTCGTGGCGATGAGAGGTGTTAAGGGGTGTAGGAAGGATTTGATTTTGACCAATTTGGTCTCGTGTGCTGTTACGGGTATGAGGGCGGTTGTCACTTCCCGGTTGCGCACACCGTGGGAGAGTGTTTCTTGAGGAACCTGAAAAGGAAGGTAGATTAGCGTTGGTCTCGGAGACCTGGGAGCGTGACCTCAAATCCCAAGGGACAACTAGTTGAGGCCGTTCACGCACGGCCTTTTTATTAAAGGTTTCTTGAGTATTAGCTCTGCCCTTAAAAGCCCTTAGTGGGCAGCCCTTACCGACGGAGACGGAAATCCGTGAGGTAGGGTGAGGTGTGACATTTTTAGGGTCGACCTTCTCTAACCCTTCCGTCCTTGTGAGAACGCAAAATCGCTGCAGATGCTGGTTGTCCGAGGGAAACACCTTACTGCTGTCACACCCCTCTGCAGTCAGCAGTACGACTTCGCCCTCAGACCTTGAGTAGCTGCTGTTGGTCTCATCGTTCTCCATTTGACCTGCCTGCCATGGTCGAACCTTCAGGAACCTAAGTTCCAGCCAATATAGCTCGGTTGGGTCATCACGATAGGCAAGCCCGACCAACACGTCAAGGTAGCAGCTACCGCTCGCTGCAGCTATGCTCAGTTAACCACTTATGTATAGCAAATACTAACTTTAAGCATAAAGGGAAACACCATTTGACATGGTGATTGCCAAAATCGACCTTATAATAGACCCAACTAGATCACATCGCTTTGAGCCACTGATGAAGGAGTTCCATAGAGGACTATCGCTCGTCCTGAGGCACATGTTTAGATTCAGATCATGCTGTAGTGCGAGCGCGTATTTGTTTGTGGCTTACTGTATGTAGGAAAGACACCGCAAGGAAACCTCTTATGGTTCTTCTTAATGATAGAACAGCTAGTAATATATTTCAGGGGAAACTAGAAAAACATTTAGGCAGCCACGTATTAACTGATGCTTACCTCTAGGTAGCTTGGAACGATATTCAAAAAGCTGTAAAAACAGCATTGATATCTGGTGGTAAGTTAGTAGTATCCACCGAACTGATAGACTCTTGTAAACTATCACGTGGCCCTGAACATGACGAAGAGTGGAGTCAGCTTAAGCTCACGTTGGTAAATAGCAATGCTCGCTAACAGTGGCAAGTCGTGAAAGCGAGAGAGAGAGAAAAGACAGCGAAGATAGGTAACGGTAGACAACTTTTCTGACTTATCAAGGAAGCCGGTATTAAAAAACCATCTGTTGCCGAAACTATCTCGGAAAAGGATGGGCGTATTATTCAGTCTCAATCCAGGAGATTGGGTTGATGGGTAGAACACCCTAGGGCTGTTAGTGGGACATAGATTGGGTGAAAGCATGATTGCCTGACCGTAACCGCTACCTTAACGTGGTGGTCGGGCTTGCCCATCGTGATCACCAAGCCGCGCTACATTGGCTGAAACGCATGTTCCTGTAGGTCCTACCATGCTAGGCGGGTCGATTGGAGAACGATGAGACTAAAAGCAGCTACTCAATGTCATCGGAATCAGTTACTTCAAGTGGTGTCTGTCAGGGCTGTCCAATCTCTCCATTCTTAGTTAATTTTGTCGTAGATATGCCTTTAGAGTTAACATTATAATTGTCTGACCTTTCTGAAGTCCACCTTTTACCAGGAGACAGGCTTGCTGACTTAGAATATGCTTACGACATAGTCCTATTCGGTGAAGACGCTGACAAAATGTAGTCTTCTGACTACCATAAGCAACACTGCAAGCATGTTCGGGATGCGGTTTTCCCCCTCGAAATGCAAAATGTTGCTTCAAGATTGGCTTGTATGGGCACCTGAACTAGTGATGGGGAGTGAAGTAGTTGAGCATGTCGACTGCTTCACTTATCTTGGGAGTCTCATCAGTGCTGATGGCTTGGTGTATGACGGAATCTCAGCACGGATACAGAAAGCTCGACTGGCTTTTGCCAACTTGCGTTACCTATGGCACAGGCGAGATATCCGTTTGCAAACCAAAGGACGAATCTACTGTGTAGCAGTTCGTTCTGTCCTACTATATGGATTCGAAACATGGACGGTAAGAGTTGAGGACATTTTTAGGTTGCTTGTTTTCGATCATAGGTGTCTCCGAAACATTGCTCGTATATCCTGGGACAATCGAGTAAGAAATGCAGTTGTTATCAAACGAGTACTAGGTAGTAATGGCAGATCAATTGATGAAATAGTGAATCTACATCAGTTGATGTGATCGGGACATGTGTTATGTATGTCTAACCACCGACAGTCTCGACGAGCTATGTTTTGTGATGTGGTGGTAGTGTGGAAGAAAGCTAGGGGTGGCCAAATCTAAAAGTAGCACAAATTCATGAAGTGATTGACTAGTGGATTGAACTATGTAAGTAGGTGTAAACTACCAGTTTGGGGTACGCGAGATGATAGTAATCGATGGTTAGAGACCTTGTCTTAACGACCTGGGAGCGTGACCTCAGAGTCCAAGAGACAACTGCTTGAGGTTAGTCGCGCATGGCCTTTTCATGAGAAGTTTTTAGAGTATTAGCTCTGCTTTTCAAGAGGTCATACCACCAGAGATGGAAGTCCGTGGGGTAAGACAAGGTGTGACATTTCTAGGGTAGACCCGTTCTAATTCATCCCTTCATTGAGAGAATGCAGCGTCACTACAGATGTCGACTGTCCGCGGGAGTTGATTTTATATTTTAGGCGACTTTCCTCTCAGAAATAATCTTTGATTTTGAATATCTATTTTTACATATTAGTTATAACCAACTCATGCAAACCATTCTTCTCTTCTGATTGCACAAACTAACTAGCTCGACCAAAACAGATGATCGCTTCTCAGGATGGTATTACATCTGATCATCTGTGGACATCAAATAATATTGACAACCAATACTTAAAGAGGTCTTTACAAGCACCAGACACTTTAACTGTAAATAATACTTGTCCTGAAAATGCAAAAGTATTTTTCAATGATCCTTCCGCTGTTTCTGCTGGTATAACTGGTCGTGCGGCTGGTAGCTTGAGTCATTTTGGCAGTAGTGCTTTGGGAGCTACTCCTGGAAATATTAATTCATGCTCAAATTCCCCTACTGGAGCTATGACCATCACTAGTTCGGGGTCGAATTCTGCTATGCCTACAACAGGTACTACTCCTGCGGATTTGCTGGACCACACGTGCAGTGGATCAGGATCCGGAAAACCTCTACTAGTTCAGCGAACAGTCGCCAGGCAGGTTCAATTGGAAAAACGTATCGGTGAAGGTCGATATGGTGTTGTATGGCGTGGCGTTTGGCAAGGTGATTTAGTAGCGGCCAAAATTTTTTCTAGTCGAGATGAACGTTCATGGTTCCGGTAATTTTATATTCCATTTAGTTATGATATTGATTTTATCCATCTGGTTTCAAGCATTAAGATGAAAGATAAATTTCAAATTAGGCGCTTTTCATACCAAAGTAGTCTTAAATGTGATTATAAAATAACCCAACGTCGCCTTTTCGTTGTCAATATTAAGAAGTGACTTCATTTATATATTAAAAAAACAGTACAAGGGGACACGTGTGTGAATGTGCTGGGATACTGCTCGGATGTCCAAACCGAAGCAGTTAGTTTTATTAGGGGATCACTACTCGAATCTTTGACCCAAAAGTCAAATCCACAAAGCTGATAGTAATATCAGGAGATGCAGTCCCATGATAGCCGGTGACCAGCAATAGGTCCATACGCAATTTGTTCCCTCTGGATGATGTAGCTCATGTTCACCATTGGTTTGGAATAGGAGTTTTCCAACTTGGTTGGACCCTCCGTTTGCACCAACCCATTCAAAGCACTGATATTCGCCTTTCGTCCTCTGGATTTCTCAAGCAACTCTAGTCATGAGAAGCTAGTGAATAGGATTCCCCTGACAGTGGTTATATACATGTCGCCATGTGAGAGCGTTTTGAGATGGAGAGAAAACTCTGCCCACTTTTGGCTATGCCAAAACATTTGGAGGTAAAACCAGCTTCATTTATGTTATTCCTCATCATAACTTATTATAAGCTGATGTATCATAATAATCACTGAATGTTACCGATACGTTGAACGGATTCTATCTATTCCAACCACATTCAGGTTAGCTAATAAAATCAATTATACTGTTTTGTATATGAAAAATAATTAGCTGACTTGCCAGTCAATATGATGTTTGTGAACAGTATTTTGATTTAAATCGTGAGAATATTTCACTTGATGTTCTTTTGGGCATAATAGAAATAGCTATAGATAGATGAAAATTAAATTGTAAGGTTCAATTTCTTAGGAGTTAAAGAGTAAAGTTTAATTTTGTATTATTGTGATCGATTCTATGCTGACAATCACGTACCCCCACCACCAGTTCCTTCTATCTCTAAAATCAAACGTATGTAAAAGAATCGCCAAAATCTTTGACAGGACTAGTGTGTTTGTTAGTCAATTGGTTCAAGCTTAAGGAAAGTTGTAAAGTAAACTACGTTTCATATGTTACATGTTTTATATCGAGCTGCTCAGCTGTATAATTCCTTATTTACTCATTGTAACAGTGAGTCATCATTTAAGACGTTCAATTCTCAGCTACTTTGTCAAAGTTTGAGACTCTACTCTTGCTGATCCCTTTTACGCAACAGGATTGTATCACTAACCTTTGAAACCAAGTACACAAATTTATACCCAGTTAATAGCTCTATAATATTGACGATGTTCGTTCGCAGAAATAAAGATAAATTAATTCAAAATTCCATCTACAAATACTTATTATTTCATGTTAAACCTACTATTCGAAACAATATATAATTTACCAAAATAAAAAAAACTTATGCACAACTCAAATAGCAAAACTAAAGTTTACGAAAAACGACATAGAATTATTTTATTTCATCAGGTCCTCAGTGGTTTTTAAAACTCGTAAAAATTTGAAACGACAACTTACGTATAAAGAGGAAGTTAATGAAATTTATTATGAACACTTATAAGCATGATGTAGCATAGAATAAGGTAAAGTTAAAAAGTGATTAAGTAGAACGTTATAAATAATATATATTCAAAGTAATTTTCTGAAACATCTCTTTGATTAATTTCTTCTAATTCCTTGTCTTGGTCAGAAGGAGTGAATTAGTTAAGCACACTGATCACTTTTTTAAATGCTTCATCGACCCTGACAGAATCTCGGTAGGAAATCTATAATCCCGGCATCGTGCGACCACATTTGTATACCTCTTTGAAAGCTTATTTAATCTACTCCATCATTAAGCAGGTTCGAATAAGTATCCATCAGGACAAGGAACTTCTTATTCACTTTTCAAAGAAGCATAACAAGTTTCTGGTATGCTCTAAAACGATTTATTCACAGTAAGATTCGTTTTCATAGAGTTAACTTTCAGAGCTATATTTATTAAGTTTTACTTCAGTAAATAGTTATCGTTAGAATTTTGTTAATTGTGATTTGAAATTTAATCATATAATTCTTAATATATATTTAGATAGCAAATAATAGGATTTATGAGAAATGAAAAAATATGACTGATATAAACGGAGTGAGTGCCGTCAAGTTGACATGTGTGCAGTTAACGAAAATATCCTAGTAAACTGGAGCATATACATATTCGCCTTTAGGTATATTTCACGTTGATATAAATTCACGCGTTTTTCTTATCTGAAATGTAATATTATCGAGTATAATTCGCCACCGACACAAACCAAATTTAAAAATGAATAAGTCTGTTAAGGGAACGCTGGATTTGTATTTCTATCCGAGTCTAATAGCCCCAGACTTAATCTACACCGCAACTTGAGTGCCAGAGAAAAGGCCTGAAGTACAAAAAGAACGGTTTACTCTAAGGTTAGCTTATGTATAGAAAAATGAGTTATATAGTTACTCATGACCTTATGCTTCTGGAAAGTTTGAGAACTATACTAAATATAGTAGCAGTTTGGCTGAATATCCAACTGTGCCTGCAGCCCTCCTAGGTCTACTGCTGGCCCAATGCCGGGATAAAAGAGGAGGGTTGGTATGGTTTTAGCGATTTCTTCCCGTGGAAGTCCAATTCGCTGAAAAACGTTAACTAGGAAAATAATTCGCCGGTCGGCGGCCTATGCTCCATTAGGGATAGCAGGCGTAGGTGAATGGCTGAATATCCAGTCAGAATTTCGGCACGTGATTCTGCATTTTCCAGATGTTTCTGCGAATATTTTATTCAATGGTAATTGAATAAAACGTTTCCTGGCATTTATTGGTCTTTGTAGACCTCTCTGAAGAATATTTCGGTACCCGACAAAAATCTTAGAAGTTAAAAATGCAGTTTCGCCTCCTCCTTTGGAATTACATCTTAACTGAGCTGTTGTCTTCACTTCTGATTTTCTATGGCTAGAGATTCTAATCGATATTACCTATTATATTTCTAGTCGAACGAATGACCTATTTCAGCGATTCTCACTAAGCCAATAAAAAAAACCGTGGCCTTAATTCTTCATGGTCTTCGAGCCCCGTCTAACCTAGTGATCAATCAGAAGACGATGATAAGAGGCAGAACGATTCCTCATTTACCCAATTCAATCATGTTTATAATCCCCGTACAATACTGTACTAAAGTTGTCAAACCACGTAGCAAGCCATGTAAGAAAGCACAATCGTATCACAAATAGAGAAGCAAACGAAGCAAACAGTATGTAATTTATTAGTAATAATTAGGAAATGGTAGAATGTTAAGCAATAGTTAATTGGTACACCGGAAGCTTACAATAAGAGAGCTATAGAAATGTAACAATGTAGTGTACAATGCAGATATCAATAATATTATTCGAGAAAATAACCCCGACAGTTTCAACTTTCCTAATATTGGTCCTGTTATAGATTAGTTCGTAAAAGAAAAACCTACGTGGAACAGATAACTGACAAACTCACATTTGAGTTACAATAATGAAAAAGCGAAATAGCGTTATTTTCCTATACCCATATTATCGTACAATTTTTTCATTCAATCACTTATATGCCTCCAGGTAAAAGATAATTCATAATTACTGACCATTTTAGTGTGTATGTATTAGTTCAGCTGCTTCTGTGAATTAAGTTATGCAATTCGGTCGATGAGATCCTTTATTTGTGAAATTCGAAAGTAATTACCATAATGGCATGAGAGAGAAATTGTCAGTTACGTCATCTGTTCTGCTACGTGTAGTAAGTTCTAAGTAATTCAGCTTTTGATTCACCCTTTGATATAATCTAAAGAAATCCAGTCAGCTTAGACAAGTATACATCTGGGCCTACTTTGTTGCACAAGCTTTGGTTCTCTCCAATTTAGGACCCGAGTTGAGTGTCCAAAACTATAATATTTTCGATGATTTTATCCATAGACTTGAGTTTGTTGTGTACAGGTAATCCTTCACAAAATTAAATGCATGTATTATTCTATGGATATTTTGTAACTTATTTTCAAATATTGATTTATTTATATTTTTTAGTGAGACAGACATTTATCAAACGGTGATGTTGCGTCATGCAAATATTCTAGGCTTTATTGCAGCTGACAACAAAGATACAGGACTGTCAACTCAATTATGGCTGATAACTGATTATCATCCTTTAGGATCATTATATGAATTCCTACAACAACATTGTCTTACACCATTTGCCCTTGTACGTGCTGTTGCATCAATCATTAATGGTTTGGCTCATTTACATATGGAAATTACTGGGACACAGGTAATGATTTTCGTTCATAAATGATAGATTATATTTAATAAATATGATAACTGTTAGACAATAACCTTATCTCAACACTATGATCTTAAACTCATTAAGATTATTTTGTGTACTAAGAACAAGTTGTTTACGGAAACTTAGTCCCACTTAGTTGTATTTTCCACTGAATGTGACTATATGAAAAACAAAACTAACAGCTGTCAGGAGTTTATTCAATCGGTCTCATGACTGTTTGTCCACTGTCATAGTAATTTAGTAGTGAGGAGGCATTTGTTCTTATAAATATATATATGATATGATATAAGCACCAGTGGAATCAATTTTTATGTTTTGTTGTTTAAATTCTCCAGATGTTGATTTATGTCCTACTAGGAACATCATAGCTTTCAATCATGACTTAACTCTACATCATTCCATATTTGTCACCGATCGATAGTGTGTCACATCACTGACCTGTTTAATTCTTGTACATATATATGTTGTTTTGATGAATCGGTACGTATGATGTCCGACTGACAAGTTATCTCACAGCACAAAATCGATCATTAAGAAATCAGGAGCATCTAAAATATATTTACAGTTGTAGAAATGACGTAAAAATGTTGTCACTGACACAGTATTTTCATCATCACCATTGTAAGAGCTAAAATATAAAGCTTCCTTAAGTCTTATAAATTTTCTATTCCTGTCTATAATAAACATATATCGTGAGTTAGATACTGCTCGCATATTAGGGATTATTGTTAATGCGAAATGACGTTATTTTCTATAAATCTATATAAATCATGATTAATGTACTTGTTATTGCTTGTCAGTATTTGTATTAAATATATTTATGGTTTAATTACTGTTTTTTTTACCACATGATGAAATCACACTGAATGTCAATTCAAATTTCAAAATCTGGTGAATGTAACCGTAAAGTCGTCTGACATAGTGTAGAAAAGATTTTTAGGCTAAACGAATCCTTTAATGATGTGTTGTTTAAAATAAACGATTTCACTGGAAAGTTCTTATTGTCTTAATGCATATTATCGTTAGCATTTATATGTATTTGAAAATCGTTCACTTTCTCAGATGTAATGATTCGTGTAGTCCGTACAATCTGTATCGACGTCACATTCCTCTATCGACAGTGAAACTTTCTTAAAGTTAACCGAAATCGAGTAAAAACTAACTAAATTTACGATAGGTAAATCTATCAAGTTAACTACTAATCGAAGTAAAATAGAGTATTCTCCAAAAGGAGACGCTTCAAGAAATGGAGTTCTTTGACTGTTTCATGGTTTAACTCACAACGTCAAAATCAAGTAAAAAAACTCAGCTAGAAGCGTGTTCCTCTGACTATATGGATAATAGTTTACTACATACTGATGATCATTCAAGAACATAAGGCACTGAAAAGTTTGAAGAAAAGGATTTAAAATTACTATTGTATTAGCTGACAAAAAGTGTACTACAGTTGTCATGGCCAAAAAAGATCATATTGAGAAAAACGATAACTTATTTACAGACAATGATGTATACCAACTAGTAAAAATTTCTACTAAAAGGTTACATAATCCAATCATATAAACTTTGGACAACTTTTCAAGAAAGAACTAACAGGAAACAGTGAAAACTAAAATCCAGTAGATCTATTCTCCTTCATTTTTGCAACAGATCAAAGTGGTACAAACTGAATACTTCTGTATGGTCGCTCGTCACTGCCAGGTATTCCACAACATAATTTACTTGACAATTGTAGGATATTGGGAAGATCGATTAAAATATGTGATCATTACTGCGAAGCGATGCTCAAACATGTTTAAATATTAACAATTACTTGTCGATAAGATATTGATTTTCTTTGGTATCAAGGTTGTATTCACTCTAGGAGCAAAATTATCCGAGGTATTATGTTAAAACTACCAAGCATAAAGAAGTATCTCAGAATATACACAAAATCATTGGTAAATTTGATAGAGTTCACAGACCTCTGTGCCATACATACAAGCAGATCAAAGGAACTATGGTAAAATAGCTTATATCAAATTTTTAGCAGAACCTGTGATTCATAGACTGGGAATTACAGTTTAGATTATACATTAGATACATTATATAGGAAACACATTTTGTTTTGAAGAAAGACGAACTCCAAATTACAACAGCTGCAACATCCAATTCCCGAAAGGGAAAATAATCAGTAAACGGGATTTTATTCTTTGATTTTTGAACAACGGAAACGTTGAAAACCGATGCAGTGATCAAATATTATGTTACGTAAGTGAAGACCTAACAGTGCACAAAAGAGTTATGTACAGACACTTCAAGAGGTTCGAAGAGAATGTAGAGATACTCGCGAAAGCAACCACTCACATAAAGGTCAGTTAAAGGGACTGATTTATCGCTTATGGAACTCACTTCTGTATAAATTTGAAATTGATCATATAAAGAGCAGTAATGAAAGCTCCTTAGTTAAACCATCCAGCTCAAAAAACATCACCGTTCAATGTATTCTTCGCACATATTCTCTTTATAAAATCTTATTTTGCCTGTCATTTCATAATTTTGTACACATTTTAAAAATGTCTCATACGTTTTCTATAAATTAGTTATATATAAGTGTAACATTTCCTAAATTTAGGGTAAACCTGCTATAGCTCATCGTGATCTGAAGTCTAGAAATATCTTAGTTAAAATGGATGGTGAGTGCTGTATTGGAGATTTGGGCTTCGCACTTAAATTGGACTCATCTATGAATTCTGCATTGGAGGTCAATTCAAACTCAGACCGTGTTGGAACCAAACGTTATATGGCTCCTGAAGTGTTAGATAATACAATACGTTCAACGAGTCCAGAAGCATTTAAACAAGCTGATATGTACAGTCTAGGTCTGGTATTTTGGGAGGTCACAAGACGATGTTATGTCCATAATTTATTCGGACCAGACGAATATCAACTGCCTTATCAAGTAAGTATACCTAATACTTTTTTACATCTTTGATTAAAGTAGCGCTCTTATGAAAACGTTTTTCTGTTGAAACGTTCGATTGATACCTGATTTTGTTGTAGTTAGGCAATTTCTATAGCCTAACCTACAGCCTAAATATTAATTTACTAACCTGTGCTTGATCAGAAAGTTGTATGTTTCTTTCATTCTATTTATAGAATGATAATAAAAGTTTGATGATAATCAGTTGATAAATTTCAGTAACAAATTCTTACAACTGGATGAAAATTTTAATATTTTTATAGTTACATTCATTCTTTTTCTTTTATCATAGTTCCCTGTGAATTGAAAAACTTCTACCCCTATAGTTATGATTTTATTTTAAAACAAAAATAATTAATTCAACGAAGTGACTTGTTGTCAACAGTTTTAGGCTGAAAGCTGTATAATCTCAAAAAAGTACTTTCGTAATGAAAATCGATAATGTATTGTTATCGTTGATAATAACTATAAATTACTAAACATAATAAAGGAATGAAGCAAACAACTTGGAATCCTCAGGACATAAGGAAGTGAGGCATACCAACGAACACATCGTGCCGTGAATTAAAGGCAGACAGGAAAAGAATGAATAGCTCTTTTGAACAACTTCAAAAGAGAGCCCAGGACAGAGTAGGCCTGGGATTGCTGGTAGGTGGCCTGTGCTCCATGTGGGGTTACGAGCGTAAGTAATTTTGCAAACAACACCAATGTTGAGAAGGCAGTGAGTAGGACTTCACTGGCGGTAGCTATGCATGTGTGAAACAATTTCGAGAGAATGTGCAGACTGTCCCCACCCTCAGTCATACCAGCTCATTTGGGGGATACTATTCATTATTCTGTCTACTTATTTAGTGTATTCCTCTCCAGCTGATTATTATTATTTTTCTTTGTGTCCATTACGTACTACAACTGTTGACAGTGATATTTACATTTTGTCCGCCAGTAGTTGTAGATGGGTAATTCAAAATTGTAGTGCAATATTTTGTCATCCATCACGTTTTTACTTCGTCTTTGAGAGGTATATGTATTTATTTATTTTCACATGCGTTGATAAACAGACAGCATCCACGCAATACTGTCGTCTACCATCAGTATGACTGACTTTTCTGTTTTCATATATTCCGATTGGCTAATTACTTGGTAAGGAAAAATATAGTTTATATATCCATATATTGATAGAGAAACATTTTCATTGGTAACGTATATGTGTGATTACGTTTAATCTACCGTGGTTATTGTCTATCGATCCCTGTTTTTATATTCCTCTCGCTGTCTATTTATATACCAATGTTTTTGAAGCTTTTCTGACTTCTCATTCACTATTGTTCCGTGTATATTTCACGTGATGTTATTATTAGTCTCATACGTCACTAGCATATGCGTAAACATACATATTTGTTCACCTTTCCTTTTGTTTGAATATCAAGTTGTCCGTTTTGCAAAGGGAATTCCACTTCTCCATCTTCATTGCCATGGTGTTTTAGTGTTGTGTATACTATGTATATACATTTCCAATAAATATATGCACACACATTTATATCTGTCAAAACAAGTAGGCGCAAGAATTTATAATGAAGTTGTGATGCGCAGTGTACAGTATCTTGTATATTCTGTTCTCTTTGCATGTGTTTATCTTCTGATTGTTGCTCTAATTTGAACAGTTATATTCGGTTGTTGTTTTACTTTCTATCGGCTCGGTGATTTTAATTGATCTCATCTACTAGGTTATTTTCTAAGGTAAAAACAACAGTCAATGAGTAGTTCATATTTAGGTAGATATTAGCATTCAGTCTGTGTAGCTCTGTATTTCTTCAAATCATCATGGTGACATATTATTCTATTGATCATTATCAAAGGTAAGTTGAAATCTGTAATTAGTTGTTAATATCAATAGGATATTTATTTGCGTTTATATATATATATATATATATATATATATATATATATATATATATATATATATATATATATATATATATATTGTTCTTACTAAGTGAACTGCATGTTCTGTGTGGTGAACTAAATATTAGGGTATCTATGGAGACTGGTAGGATTTTAGTAGCTTAAGTCACAAACTAATTTTGTTTAAACCGTCATTGAAAATCAAGAAGCGCTAAACAGTTGTTCCGTTCTAGTATGGGACTCTTCATTAGTGTCTATCCCCACTACAGGGGATCAAAACCAGGACTTTCGGTTTTGAGTGCAAATGCTTAAGCTGTAGCTCATTCAGCCTTGGAATACAATGGTATTAATGTTCCTTTTCAATCGATTTACGATGCTGAGCTACCATCTTCAACTGCCTGTAACGGTTAGTTGCTTTACATACAACATGGTTAAGCCCCATGGATTTGGATATTCAATCATTCTATTGTTTCAAGTTGCTTTCACCAATAATTGATTTCAGATCATGATGCTTAAATGAAAAATGTTGCATTTATGTTTGGTATTTAAAAAACCGAGAATAATAAATAAAAACCATTGTTTGAAATTCATTGCAGCTAGCATATGTGTTGAGGTGAATTGGGGTTTTGTATATAAGGTCCTCACTGTAAATAATAATAAAAGTATTCAAGTTCTGATTAAAAACATAGAGCAAGCTTGTTTTATGAACATTTTGTTTTACAGAATTCGGTAAAAGTGTGCTTTAATTACAAGCAAATCACATTCAAGTTAACGACTCCGGGATTTTTTGTACAAAATCCGAAGCACTGTGATAGATAGTTTGGAGTTATAATACACATTTATGAATTTGTTGCAGATCTACTTCTGAATGTTCCATTTGTATACGTTCATTAACTGAGTGAATCTTAAATATAAGAGCATTATTTTTGTTGTAAACTTTACTAGTTTTTTTTCATCCGTCAGGTTGGGATGAACTACAGCAGTGTATGTTGTACAAAAGACAACTAGATAGCCTTAAGTGATAATTAAAATGAAATCTGGAGTGAAAGTTACTCCCTTATGCTCAGCTTAAACGTGCTAAGTGGACGCGAAATGCTAGATAACACGCATTTGTCAAACATTGAATAAAATTATAATTTACACATTGAAATCATCAATCAACCAATCATCGTTATACCACCGTTAGAATCCTGGAAGCACTAGACAGTCGTTTTGTCCTGGTATGGTACTCGTCAGCACTGCATATCCACGAATCCTGTTACTCGCAGGATTCGAAGCAAGGACCTTGCGCGTGAACGCCTAACCTCTGGACTACTGGGCCGGCGTTCAACAGTGTTCGTGTCTAACAGTGTGTGAAAACACTAATCTCCTTAGCTCTAATGGAACAAATCGTAAAATGTGCTCACTAGTGACTAGCTTCGTGAGGAGATTCTCGGAGTTCTAGTGAGAAGCCATGACAATTGGAGTTCGACCCTGTCGGGTGTAGGTAGACTACCGAAGACAAATGGGTGAGGTCGCGCAAAATATGTAGATTGATCAGAGTTAGACACTAACACTGTTGAATGCCGGCCCAGTGGTCCAGAGGTTAGGCGTCCACGCGCAAGGTCCTTGCTTCGAATCCTGCGAGTAACAGGATTCTTGGATATGCAGTGCTGACGAGTACCATACCAGGACAAAACGACTGTCTAGTGCTTCCAGGATTCTAACGGTGGTATAACAATGATTGATTGATAGATGATTTCAGTGCGTAAAAACACTAATCTCCATAACTGTAATTGAAAAAAGGGGTAATTATTCTCAGTTATAGTTCCCACATAACATTTTGTCGTAGTTTATCAATTTCTGCAAATATTTTGTTTGAAGACTTTAAATCGAAAAATTATCGGCCTAATGATTCATCAATACATCTGCATGTCATATATATCTGGTCATCTGATATGGCCATCTTGATTTTTTTTCCTTTTTCTCTGTCGGCATTGTTATAATTCTCTCTTTATTATAACCAAGCTATTCCTAATGCTTAGTATTCTCGGACACCAATTCACTCAAGACGTTCTCCCAAATCAGAACACTGTTGAACAGCAAATAGATTATATTCCAATAACAAGGATAGACAGAAGACATAAGTTCAAAATGTTAGTACACTTATTGTTTTTACATGAGAATATTTTAGAATGCTCCCTCAGTATCAACTAGCACTGATTGGATACGAAAGAGCCAATCAGCGTGCAAGAACGCAGTGGTGCTTTTATCCAGTCTATGTCCAGCTAACAACAGTTATACTATCACTAATCTTTACACTATATAACACTAATTCCTGTGTTTGGATTCATTAACCTGTAACACACACGAAGTTGTTTACTGCATGAAGCGTTGAATTTTTAGCCATCAGTTTACCATCTCGAATTTCGCTCTATTTATTCCTGTCCAAGCTGTTGGATGGTAGTGTCATTATCCCTGACACGAAATCAAGGATGTAAAGGTTATGGCACACTAAATATGTTGAATAAAATAAATTTGAAATTTTTTCGGTAGACTTTATTCTGTACAGATGGTTCTCTACTTGGGCTACCATTTGAAGATGGGGTTCCATATGTGTTAAACGTTCTCCACAAATGTCTCAGGTTCATTCCCTCATGTAATCTATGAAGAAATCTCATACTGGATCAAAACAACTGCCTAATCCTCTCTTGTCATTAGTATCCGAAATTGAATCAATTACTAATGTATGTAACCTACGAACTGGTTGCAACCAATCTCCACATAAATTTCTTCAATTAAACGTCGATTTTTATTTACGTTAAACATGATTTATTTATACTTAACCCGCGATTGTTCTTTTTTATTATTGTTTGACAGGATCTTGTGTCTGCGGATCCTTCAGTGGAAGAAATGAAATCTATTGTTTGTGAACAAGGTCTACGACCAGGTCTACCAGCTATATGGTCACAACATGAAATCATCCGAGCATTACAAGATATAATGAGTGAATGTTGGTATGCTAGTCCATCGGCTAGACTGTCAGCTATGCGCGTTAAAAAATCACTAGCTGGTGTACGCAAACAATTAGACAGTAATCCAGCATTGTCAGATTTCTCACATACTAACTATCTACCTCTAGAAGCTACTGACAAGCTTCCTTTTGGCATAATTCGTTATCCATCTGTCCCACGCCATACTATGAATAATAGTATCAATTATAATAATCAACAAATAAATTTACTATCAAATCTTACAAGTACTACTACTACTTCTACAGCTGGTAGTAAACTACTTATCTCAGGCGGCGGTGATAACAACAATATTGCTTATAACAGTAATAATAATAATAATAATCTTTCACTAACCACTAGCATTGCCACCACACCTATAACAATGCTCGGTAATAATATACATTATAGAAATTCTCAATTGGATGATAACGATATGTTGTATTCATCGTCATTATTATTATGTAACAAGGGAAATATTTCTTCACATTGGTCAAATTGTGAATATGATAAATTATTATTATTCAATACACATGATAACAATAATAATCCTAATGAAAGATCCAATAATGGTAATAATAATAATAATTCAAAGCATTTATAGTTATCAATTTATCTTCCTTTGTTATATTTTTTTAAACAACAACATTGGTTGAGTAAACGAGAAAAATGGATAATTGCACACTTTTCAAATACTTTTGCATACTTTCACAGCTTGTATTTCACTACACCTGACGCTGTCTCACGTTATTTATATTATGCATATATTATGTGCATTTTTTTCTCAATTTGTATGTGGGTGTATGATTACCACTTCCGTATCATTAAGCTGAACTCACGTCTTGTCTTATATTCATTGCTGTTTGTTATATTTAGCATTTCATAGATTGCTGCTAAAAACACGTGTATATGAAGTTTTTGTGTTTTTCACTCTTTTCTATATTGGTTTTTTCGTCAAAAAGTCAGCTATTTTGTTGTTACAATAACATTCTGTTGTGTGTGTGACTGTATTTTGTGAGTACGGTTTTTAGATTGTCTTTATTTACACGCGCAATCGTCACATTTTTCATTTATCCAACAACATGTCTACTTACTAATAATCTGTATTTCTACGTTTGTCAGGCGTTCCTTTGTTTTATGTATTTCTTTATCTCGGTACTCCTACGATCTCTTACTTTTAGTCATACACACACTATCTTCTCTCAGAAACCATCCCCACCACACTAGTTCACATATAATTTCCAGTTTATGTTTTGTTTTATCTTAATTCCGTCCCACCAACTTAAACTGCCTACACACATACAAAACCTGTATCCTGGCTTCGTTCAGCTTAGTGTGTGTACTATGTAAATTTGTGTAAAATTACTGTTTAACAGTGTTGTATTATCATTTTGTTGTGGTTTACTGATGAAAATCAGGGAGATTCTAGGAGTAGTACTCGTAGCAGCAGCGAATTCACCAATTACCGACTAACTAAATACGGTGATGGTGATTGTGCAGGAGAATTTAACTACCATTACGATCGTTAATTACTTATTGACATATTATCCTTTGGCCAGTTTCTTTTTCTTATTCTGTTTCACTGTACAACACAAGATGAAACAATTCAGCTTACAGATACCTATTTGTTTAACATGTTAAGTGACTACCAGAATGTGATTTTCATATATATATATATATATATATATATATATATATATATATATATATATATTTAATACACTTATATTTCTATTTTCACAGTTTATATTCTTCCATCACGTTTTAGATTGTCATCGATACTGAGCGTTCGTTTTATATTTTATTCATCGAATGCCGGTTGTTGTTGTTGTTGTTGTCGTCGTTGCATATTCCATGCCTTTTCTTCACTTCTCTAAATTATTTCAATTTCGTAATAATGTGTTTCAGAAGTGACTAGTTAGCTGAGATTCTTCTATTTTTCCCCTACAAACTATTGGTTGTATTTCGGAATTGTTTTTATTTTATTTTATTTATCGCCAAATAAATTTATTTTTCTTATATATTTGCGTATGTACGCACATAAGAGAAAGAGGATTATGATTATGATTGCTGAGAATTTTTCGATTGATTCACAACGGATACTAGAACTACAATGGGTTATTACTACTGGTTCATTGAATCAAAACAGTTTCACCTTAACCCTCAATGAAATTACCGCAGTCATGAGGTTCCTCAGAATTTATAACTGCTTAACTTCAGACTTGATGAGAGTAAGATAATTATTAACAATGAGATTGAATGATCGTCTCACCATTTAGCGAATTAATTGAAGCTAGAATTGTATCATTTAGTATCAACTCAGTGATTTAATAGTAAACTGTTCACCACAAGAAGTTACGGTCCTGGATTTGATCTTTGATTAGTTTATGTGTTCACATTACTGAGGTAACTCACGCCAGAATTTGACAACTGTCCACTTCTCCTTGGATTTCAGTAGTATTCCATTTAAGATCAGTTGGTAATGGATGCAACATACCAATTAATCCAATCTCTGCAGAAGTTGCTAAGTTATTTACTAGTTGAGTGACGTCTAAGAATCATTCAAATTGGCGCAGATAAACTTACTCATTATTTTCCTCAGTAGCTTTTATCATCATTGTTACATTACTTTCATTTCTTACAAAACATCTTGTTTGTTTCACCTTGTCATGCTATTCAAGATAACAACTTGAGCTTATACACATTTATGCCAGACTTTATGTTAATTTTGACTTATATCAGCTATCGATTCGTGATAATAATCATTTTATAACACTTAACGCTATAATCACAACCCGACCGTAGCTGCTACTTTGATGTGATAGTCGTGCTTGCCCATCGTAATGACCTAACCGAACTGTATTGACTGGAACATATGTTCCTATGGGTTCTACCATCCTGCGCGGGTCGATTGGAGAACGGTGAGACTAAAAGCTACAACTTAAGATCTGAGGGCGAGGTCGTACGGCTAACTGGGAGGGTGTGACAGCAGTAGGGTTTTTCCCCCCGACAACCAGCATTTATAGCGATGCTGCCTTCCCACAAGGACGTAATGAATTAGAAAAGGTTGACCCTAAAAATGTCGCACCTTTTCTTATCCCACCGACTTCCATCTCACGCGGTATGCCCTCTTGAAGAGCGGAGCTACAAACCTACCATAAAAAGTACGTGTGCGACTGACCTCAAGCAGTTGTTCCTTGAGCTCTGGGGTCACGCTCCCAGGCCATCAAGACCAGCACCAATCTAACTTTCTTTTCAGGTTGCTTAAGAAACACCCTTCTATGGTGTGGGCAGCCGTGAAGTGACATCCTCCCTCACACCCGTAACAACACACGAGACCAAGTTAGTTACAGTCAAATCCTTCCTACACTTAATAACTTTCTTATTTTCGCGACCAACTCTTCTACATTTATTTTTAAACGCCACTAATGCAAGCTATTCGAGTTCATGAAATGTTATACCCGGTCTCCTGAAACACTTTACACTACATGTTGGAGTTTTTAATGTCTACACCCTAAGCCAAATAAGGCAACAGGCTCCCTAACCTAGGACTTTAGAATCCTGTGCCATCGATGTATGCTGCATCTCCGATATGCGCATACAGGATCCAAATAGAATCTTTAGTTTGACTTCACCTTATCTAGATAAAGAACCAACTCGATCTATGCTCCGTGTTTCTGGAAGCCCTGCTGCTGCTTCCCGTGGATTTCTGCCATATTTTGCTCTGGCCGCCCCTAGCTTTCATCCAACCTATTCCTACACTGCAAAATGTAGTTCGACGAGGCAGTCAGTGGTTAGGTATTCATAACACATGTCCCAACCACCTCAACTGATGAAGTTTCGATACTTCATCTATTGACCAGCCATCCTTACTTAGCACCCGTTTCTCAACTTCATACAGAGTCGGACAACTTACCGCGATTCGCCATTCAGGATGAATGGAGATCATAGGCAGTTAAAATGTGGCTGAGGGCCAATTAAATTGATACCTTAAGTGTTCGGCCCATCGATCCATCCCCCTTGATTGAGAAGTAATGATAAGACCATTATTTTACGAAATAATCTCACTCACATTCGGGTTCCTAATCTCGGTTTCCTTGATGAGTCTGAATAGTTGCCTACTGCTGCATATCGCCGATTCCTTTCCCATCTCTCTCAATTTCGCTACACACCACTGTTCACGAACGCCGCGTTGGCTTTTAATCAGCCTGTGCCTAAGCTGACTCCGCTCATCCGCGCACACAGAACCGTGAAGGATGAGCTTTCGAGCATCCACCAGTTCGGTAGATGCTACTGAAATCCACGGCTTCTCCCTAACCTTATGGTTTACCCTACTAACAGATATCACTGCTGCTTCCACAGCTTTCCGATATCATTCCAAGCTGCCTCGGGATGGGAATTAATTGCATGACTGCCTGAGCTTGTATAAGGTTAATGTACTTCTTTGGTGCACCTTTCAAGTGACCGGGACTGCCACAGTACCTTACGATCAACAGAGTCGAATGCCGCTTCAAAGGGCGTCTGAACGTGTGTCTTTGTTCTAGGACCTGTCGTAGTGTGAAGATGTGTTCTATACATCCACATGCAGGTCTGAAACCATCCTGGTTTTCTCTGGTCTCCCCTTTCGTATAAATTGGGATAATCGGGGATTGAAACCAGTCAGATGGGATTACGCCTAGTTCATAGATTCTACCTAAGATCTCATTCAAGCTAGCTGCTAAAACTGGACCCTCATCCTTAAAAATCTCAGGGGTTAATCTATCAGGACCCGCTGCTCGCTCTCGCTTCAGATTTCCTATCGTTTTCACAACTCCAAAAAGAGTCGGAGAACTTATATTGATTTGCCATTCAGGTTGACTGGAGATCGTGGGGGACGGAAGTGTGACTGAAGTGTTCTGCCTATCGATCCAATTTCCTGGATTGAGAATGACTGATACACCCATCCTTTTCTGGGATAGTTTCGCCGACTGATGGATTTCTAACACCGGTTTCCATGATAAGTCGGAAAGGTTGTCTACCGTTACCTATCGCCGCGGTTGTTTACACCTCTTTTACTTCCACTAACCACTGCGGTGTGAGATCACTGCGTAGGCATTTTACCGGCCTGCACCCAAGTTGACTCTGCTTTTCATCATGTTCAGAGGCAGGTGGGATGAGTTTACGAATGTCTTTCAATTCGCTGGATGCTATTGAGATTCACGTCTATTTCCTAGCCTTATAGTTTACTTTACTGGCATATATCGCTGCTGTTTCCACAGCCTGTTCGAAATCATTCCAAGCTGGCGCAGCTAGTCACTGGTGAGAAAATTTTTATCATGGATTTACAGGGATTGAAATAATCGATCGTTTGTAGATCAGCATTCGAAACCTGGAAGCAGTGGATGAATGTTTCATTCTAATATGAGACTTATAAATAGTGCTCATTCATGATCACTTCAATTTTTTATTTCTAATGCATATTCCGTTTTAAAAAAATTAAATTAAATCTTTTCTAGTAATATTAAAATCCATTTTTATAAATTAAAATCTTATGTCAATTTAGAATGGTAAAGAAAATGAATATTTATTCAAAATTTGTTAATTCGTCTACTTTGTATAAAATTT